ACAGTGCAAAAATGTTGTCGCGTTTGACGCCCAGCATGCAAGGACCTATCTCGACGTCGTATCAATGGATGTTCCTTGCGCTTCCAGCTGAATACAGGCGCTGATATAATTTCGATATCACGGCGAACCTGAAAGAGAATTAGATTACCTACTCTGGAACCTTGCATCATACCTGTGAAAATGGCAGATGAACGCCGATCGATGGTAAATTTTCTACCGACGTCACAGTCAGAGATCGTGTTACAGGAAAGAAGATCCAAGGAAATGTAACATGGTACGTCACCGAAGGCATGAATCTACTACGACTAGAGTGGTGCATGCAATTACCGCCTACAAGGTGTTAAAGAATAAGTACCATACCGGAAGGTGAAGATCGAGTGGAAGTCATCGCAGACTTCAGTATGCAAAAGTCTTTGCGGAGTGAGGAACACGAAGAGCAAAGCAGAGCTATTCTTAAAGGACAATGCAGTCCCATTTTAAAGAAAAGTGACTACTTCCATACGCAACCCACCGGAACTGTAGCTAGAAATCGATCGGTGGATTACCGAGGAAGTGATTTCTGCAGTGTAACACTCAGAACGAGCCGCGCCTAGTTGACGTCAAGAAGAAAATTGGGAAGATCCGTTCATGTGAAAACGGAAAGATATGTTTAGTGCAGACTTCTTGACAGGACTAAACGATGCATTGCAGCAGCACCCATTGCCCATCACTGAGGATGTGTTCGCAAAGCTTAGTGACAATTCTTCGCGCAGAACCAGAAGCTATCTGCAGGTAAGAGTAGAAGAAGTATCAAAAGAGATACTGAAATAAATACACGCAAGAGGTTGTATTGTTACAATCGCCAACCTTTCAAAGTCAAAGCGGCACCAGGTATTCTCCAGCAGATCATGGATTAAATGATAGATTAGAAGGCGTAGCTGCATACCTTGATGATATTATCGTTACTGGAAAAAGCATTAGCGGATGCGTTGCTCACAAAGATTAATTAGTACGGCCTTCACGTTAAGTGGAGATATGTCACTTCTTAATGGCACAGAACTGTCATCTCGGTTGCATCATAAACGCCAGTCGGGCTAAAGGAAGATTGAGGTTATCCGCCAGATGCCAGCACCGAAAACACAGCAGCTGTTCGTTCATTCCTACGCGAGACTAACTACTACGCATCATTAGTAGCCTAGATGCGCCAACTGGCATCATTGGACGCACTACTTAGGAAGAATGCTCCCTTGTGATGGACGGAAGAATGAAAAGGCACACAGGCGTGTCAAAGCAATTTTCTTCGGATTTGCTCCTAACATATTTCAGCCCTATTCTGGAAATTGTGCTAGCTGCCGATGCATCAAACTACGGAATCGGAGCAGTAAGTCTGATAAAACGCCGGATGGGATTGAGAAAGCAA